ATATACATCGTCGACGACTAATTGATCGGATAAATAATTCGTTACACGCTCGTGAACTGCTAATTCGGCGCGAATGATCGATAATGAACGGTTATTGGTTCGTACATAACGTGTTTATCGATCTATCGCGAGAATTATTGCGCGAAGCTTTGAATTATAAATTATTAAACGAATCTCGAGTTCCACCGTGAAATTTATCGAAGAACATTTTCTTTGATCTTTGATTTATCGAATCCTTCATCTTTTCGACGTCCGTGCGCGATGTGAATTTGCTACAGAAATTGTTACAGTTTGTCCAAACGAAACAATTTTTCAAAACTTATCACTTGGCTCGTGAATTATATATACTGACGAATAACATTTAGTCAACCAAAGGAAATCTATTACATCTCGTATAATATTCATCGTTGGTGATCATTCGTCCATTGTTTCGATGAATAAAATGGCGTACGTGCGACGACCGATCTGCTGAAACAATACACTCGGTGATACTTTCAGTGGAAAGATGACGAGTAATTGCGAGAGATGTAAGGTGAAACGAGACAAAACAGTGTTACAGGTCTGTCTTTGTATTTGCACGTAGGTGATGCGGTGACACTCGTGGGCTGGGGTACTCAGGTGCACGTGCTGTTGGAGGTGGCCGATCTCGTGGAGGAGGAGCTCGGGGTATCCTGCGAAGTGATAGACCTCGTTTCTATTTTGCCTTGGGACACGGAACTCGTATGCAAGGTAATTTCGTCGTTCTAATCCCCTCTTGTTTGCCTTCTTATTTCCTTCTCTTTTCTTTTTTGCCTTTTGATCTCTTATCTCTCTTCTCTGTCGTTTGCACGCGTAACATTTAAAAGTGTAACCATTGTTGAACTTACGAGGGTGGCTGTGCCTCGGGCTGAAAGTTTAAAAAGTTCCTTTTGTTCAACATACATAATACTAAGGTATTGAGATACAAATAAGGAACGTTCATTGCTGAGGAGAAAGTAATAAGGATTCATTGTATCCGAAAGAAGTTGACTAAATTTTATATCGTCATATTTCTCGTTTTCTTAATATCGGCGTACAATAATTATGAAAGCAGCGGATGTTCGTGCGATTTCACACTTTTACGATGGCAATTAAAAAGAAGTGAAATCTGGGAGAAAGGAGCGAAGATTATTTGACTAGTTTGCAAAGGGTAGCTATATTTCGAATATTTTCTCTATTTTTTATGTGCATTCCCAAACTTTTTAGTTCATTTACAGGGAAGAAGAAGCTTGTTGAATATTACTGTCGACAGAGTGCGGGTCTGTTTTCAATCTGGAAACGAGGAATCACAATTCAAAGACCGAATCTTTCGAAACTTATCGAAGAGATGAAGTTAACGTTACTTCCCTGCTGTTGGAGCGTTGCGAAATAATTGCGAAACGTAGATATACGCGCTCGCGTTCATTTTTATTTGCGAAATCGGTACCGCCGCGGATAATCCGCCGCGATCGTCGCTGTTTTATCGCCTCTCTCCTTGGATTACCGGCTCATTAAGCCTCTCCTCCCCAGCCTCTCTCTCCGCCAATCGAAAATTCAACGCCAGTTCACCGCGTCCTTGCATAATTCCACTAATAATATTATTGTAAAGAAATCTTCGTGAGCCGCTGACTCTCGCAAATATATATTGTTACCGATCAATCCGCTTGCATCACGAGAATACGCCCGATGATCAAACAAATAGTTAAATTCCAACAAACTGTGTAAATTAAACGATTGTACTGCATTCCTGACTTGTAAACTCGTAATATTGTAGAAAAATGATCTCTGCCTCTTTCCTGGGAATTTATGAACTCGTAAGCTCGTTAATATCGTTGTAATATCGTTAGTTGATACAGGCTACGTATTGCGAAAGAGATATAATTTCACAGTTAGGAAGTTTAAGTAGATTTCAACGTGTTCCACGAGTTGAGAATTAAGCGACTGTCCCTGGTTGACGTAAAATCCTAAAATTACAGATATTCGTTCGTAATTATATATACGATCTACACTGTAAACTTATTAATAACGTCAATTTATTAATGTAATTAGTCGGTATAATCGTTGTATAAAAGAGAAATTTCAGGTGAAAAATCAATATCTTCTCTCTTTATCATCGTTGTTAGTTACGATATACATACAGGTAATTTAACGTTGAAATCTACCGAAATAATCATGTTGTATTTATTTGATCAAAGTTTATCAAAATGTTTATCAAAAGCGGTGAAATCATCTCATTCGAACGAAGTTTACCGAAACGTCTACTTATTTATTCAACATGCAAAAACGTGGAAATCACGGCGCCGCTTGAACGTCATGAATTTCACCAAATTATTTACTACGACTTCAAATACCTTCAAGTAAAAGCAACATTCATTCCGAAACTGTTAAATTTCATCTGCGGTATCAGCCGCGGCTGAAAATAAACATTCACCGCGCGTTTACTTACTTACTTTTAACATGGAAATGTTAAACGTCGCGTTGTCACGTCGATTCGACCACCACGAACCAAGGGAACATTCACTCGTCCGAATTACGATACGCGCGCGCTAATATCGCGCTGATTTATGCTAATCGATCTTTAGTTTAATGATATGCCGATTGTGCGATACGCATCGGCCGCTTGTGTGCCACGGCACTCTATACACAGTAACTCATACGTGAACCAAGCGTGGTATTATGCTTGCTTGCTAGGTGGCCAGCGTAATTGGAAACCCGTTTCGCGGATTCCCCGTGCCAGTGATATTTGTCGCGAGGTTCCCTTCAATGCGATAAAATTGAGAAGCGAAACGAGAGGCTACTGTAATTTGAATTTTTCGAAGCAGAAGCTTTCAAACCGACGGATTTCAAGCGCGTTCATTCAGCCAGAATTTTGAAATGACAAATTTTAAATATTTCACTTCCAAATGTTTCATCTTGCAACTTTTTTTTTTAGCCTTTCAATTCTCCCAATTTTCAACTCTCTCTCTCTCTCTCTCTCTCTCTTTCTCTCATTAACGAATAAAACTCAGTAAGCAACAAACGAGTTTTATTCGTTAAGTTACCAAAATTGCGATTTCATCAAAGGTGATGAGAAGGTAAAGAAGCGAAAAATTCAAGAACGATGAAGATCGAACGGCTGTTACGCTGAAATTCAGTTTTTGTTTATTTAAACGAGTCGCGCGAGGGAATGCACGAAGATGGGATAATGTATCTTCTTGCGGCTGAATAGCTGGTATTAGCCAGAAGAGTTAAGACCATGCTTTTTGCAGTTTTATCAAACAAACCGGTTAAAAAGCGACGTGGTTTATCTCGCCTTGTCACCCTCATAATTGCAAGCTTCGGAATAATGTACTGGTCTTTGAAATTTGGCTACAGTCAAGACACATTTCAAACGTTTCTACAAAGGTATCGTTACACAATTTGAAAACAATTAGACACTACTACTACTATTTTAATTGTTATTCATCTGTATTTCCAAGTTGGAAATTTAAAGATTCGAAGATTCAAAGAAATTAGAGAGAACTTCTAATTTTCTTCCTAACTATCAAGTTACAGGATTTTTGATAGGTTAAATTAAATTAAATTAAATTAAATCCTAACAGGTTTCAAATGTCCTTCGAATTTAACTTTGCAGCCAAATAAACGATTCTGGGAGAAACCATATCGCTTCAACTCAGTTTTCTAACAATCTCGAAAGTTACGAAAATCATTCAACTCTCAGGTGGTCTCAGAAAGCAACGTGGAAGGTCAGAGCTGAAATCTGAAATGTCACAGAAACCTGTATGCACAATCTGTACGAGCGTTATCGAGTTACCATTTCTAACGATTTAACACAGAGCACACACGTGCATTCGCCTACGTGTATCTTAATTACAAGGTTCACAAGTTTCTAACGTCGATTTGACATTTGCCACAAAAAAGGAAAAAAAAATGTACTACATAGCTGGATAGAAATCTCTGTATCAGATTTTTGTTTCATTGAATGTTAAATTATCCTATTATAAATAATTGAAGGGAAAGCATATATGCAAATATTATTAACAGATGTTTAAACCCAGTTTTCCCACTTGATTTTCATCTACAATAAAGTGCCCTGAGACCTTCAAGCTCAAGGGACTGTACTTTTCTGATACTTTTCGTTAAGCATCCTCTCAAGCTCAGATTGCTCAAAGTCAAACAACTTGAATTCAAGCAACTTGACTAATTTGAACAAAGCTTTAACATGTAAGTTATTATTACATTACATACAATATATGGGACGGCGCGTAAATCATTTACGAATTGATCCGTAAAATATTTCATTCTATCAAATACGAATTACCTTCCTCCATGATACACAATGCTATGGATGGTTATAGCTGGTCTCGGGTCGAGTTTGCAGATTGCAAACTATCCACTGGAATCACTGTGAACATTTAATTGCCGATTTTGTAATTGAAGACGTACGGAAAGGGGACGAGTTGCTTGAGTAAGTGATTATCCTTCGACAAAATAACAAGCTGTGTGTTGGGAGAGGAGGCATTGGCGTTCGTGTGGTGCATGAGCGGGATAATTCGATTACCCACGTTATCCAGGGACTGAGGATGGAAATTGTTTGAATGTTGTCTTTTGGCAAATGTTGATATTATTCCGATAGTGACACATTAAGGTATTAGAGCTTTGGGAAATTTATTGGTAGTATTTCTGATACGTTGTTACGTGGCTGCAAATATTGGAAATATTTCAATTACTTTTAATTCTTTCATATTTTGACACGACTAATTCAGAAATGAAACTATCGACTTCACCGTTTTTATTAGTACGACATGTATTAACGCTTAACTTAATAAGCCAATTTATCTTCGTAAACACGATCAATTGGGCCTCCATGCGAGCTGATAATTGCCTCTCCAAGATTATTGATTTTCTCGTAATGATTAATGATATTAAGCTATCTAACTTCTATAAACTGATATCCTAATGCACTTGTACACACAGTATAACTCGAAACTCCGAAGATCCCGACATTCTATTAGCTCGATAACTGCCTTGATATTTTATGAAGAACTTGTGTTTACTTAGAAATATCACAATAGAAATTTCTCATTCCTCTGTCTAATGACAGCTCTAATTTTAATTAATTCCAACTAATAACATCGATTTTTCATGGAAAGTTCCTTCCTCGTTCAAAATAGACGTCCGATGCCAGACAATCGGTCAGATTTACACGTGACCGTTTTGCTTTAATAATAATGCAATAATGTTGCAGTCGGCGAAGAAGACTGGTCGCGTGGTAATCGCCCATGAAGCACCGCTAACGAGTGGCTTCGGAGCAGAAATAGTTTCGATCGTTCAGGTAAATGTTTCCTTGAAAATATTCCAGTGTGACATAACAGCGTAGGCGAAATTGGACTCGCGATTGCCACGTTTCAACTTAAGTCCCGTTCGACCGTGACGGAGGAGAGAAATTACACCGAAGAGAGACGAGTTCGAAAAGTTCAAAGTAAAGAACTTTCGCAAGTTCTGACATTTTCGACGGTACACGCGGTTTCTGTCTTCAAGTCTGTTACACGAGTGACGAACGAGAGGACCATTTTCTATCAAAAAACCGTCGACCGTATTCTCTCACGATCATCAGTTCGACGTGTAAAAATTGTCTTTGTAGTAGCAAGTCTTTAATAAAAGAAAGGAATTGACGATTAAATTTTAATAAAAAAAAAAAAAAAAAAAAAAAAAATGGAACGATGGTGTACGCGTAGAAGGAAATTGGAACGAGTAAATCGGAGCAATTACACCGCGATATGCGAAATAGCTACACGTAATCGAATTCTACGTTAAGATACCTTTGACCACTTGAATTGATAATTAAACGGGATTTTAAAGTAGATTCCACTTGCGAAATCATTTACACGTAGCGCGTGCACGGCGCCGAAAATCCATTAGATGCATGTTCAATGCACCGTTGGAATGTGGCAGGATATCATTACGCGTATTTTCTGTTACGTCATGTGAACACTTCGTGACGGTTCGATACGCTTCGGCTTGCTCAGATGTACAAACCTCGGCTGCCTTGCAAAATTCCTATGCCTAACGTTAAATTAGCAAATGAGTAGCTCGATCATTGGTAATTTGAACCTTAACTAATAACACGATCGCTCATCTGTCCGTCAGTGTGACAAAAACCGTAGAATTGCACGCGTGATCAATGTCATTCGTCGAGATATCATCGAGAATCATCTCATCCCCCCCCTTTTTTTTTTATTACTAAAAATTTTCCTACGATCTTTCGCTCGAAATTCTTGTACTCTTCAAACTGCATAATAAAAATTTGAAACTTTCAATTAACGAAGAATACATTTTTATCCCTCTTTGAAGAGTCAACTTTCGAAATTTTCATTG